CACGACCTCAGTCTAGACCTCCTCTGTAACCCTGGAGCCACATGTGAATGACCTGGGCATGGCCACAGAGCTCCATACTGACTGCCACATACCTCTAGCCATGGAGTCCTTCACAGTGGCTCCTCAGTAGATGCCATCTCATCACAGGAATCTGTGTCTTTTACTTCCTAGATCACACAGACCCTAAGTCTGTGCCCCTCCCCAATCTTTTAGGATAGTCTTCTCTAATTCTTTCAGGACTTAAGGAACCTGGAGACCCATCACCTGCCCATGGCCATGGGACATCTGTAGTAGTGCCTTAGCCTCCTCCCATTCTGTTTCTCCTCTGGACTTGAAGAAGCTCTTCCTACACTTGCAGAGTGCCACATGCACAGCCTCAGTTACAAGAATAAGTGTGGCCCCCATCTTGACCACAGTCCCTGTGGCTAATATCAAGAAGGGTCTCTGTGGATGCTGTCTCAGAACTCCAGGACAAATGTGGGTCAGTCAGGGGTCAAACTGGTCCTGAGGCTGAGCCATCAGGGTGAAGAGCCTTGGGGATGCAAAGCCACAACTAGACGGAAGGAGCAGCTATGGTGGCCAAGACACTGAGAGGAGATGGTGTACATATTTTTAGGAATATGGCATAATATGGAAGAAATGTGTCCACTTGACACAGAGGAAGGCTGAAATACCAAATGGCTCATGGCTAAATTTAGCAGAAGTGCTTTTACTTAAGAACTGCGGAGGCAAAGGCTTCATAATCAAAAGATGTGCCCAGAGAACCTGCTGGGCCGCAGCCACCAGTGTGTCATGTCCTGGCAGGATTGAGTCCTGGCCCACCTGACCACAGGGTACATGGGCTGGGGCTGCACAACACTGTAGATGTAGACATTTGATGGCATTGTCCCCAACGACCATGGCTCAAAGCTCCCAATTCATCAAAGTTCCTGCTCTTTCATCTGTGTCCAAGGTGACCTTCAATCCCCCAAAGCAGAACTGTGCTGCTGAGCTTTAGGGGAGTGTTTCTGTGTGCTTTCCAACACCTCAGTTCACCTCACAGGCAGAGAGGACCTCTGGAGAAGTTGAGCAGCAGCTGAAGCTATTGGCAGCGGCGTTCTTGTGTCTAGATCTGATGTGGGTTTTTCCAAACTTACTTGACTATTGGACACTCAGCCTTGATGGCTAAGATCGAGGCTTTTCAGTCGTCAGTATCTTGTGATAGGACATGAAGCTTGACTCCCACTGGCTGAAATGTAGCACCTCCCTGGTGACTAGGAGGGCTGTGCATGTCCTGGCATAAAGGTAAATTCTACCTTGCACAAGCCATGGCTTCTGTCCCTTCCCAGTGTAGCCTGTGGCCACCTCTTCATCTGCTTGCTATACTCATCCCCAGCCCCAATTGTGGGCATCAGTCCCAGGGCCAGTGCATGGAACTGGTGACTTTCTCTACATGGGACACTGGGCAGCCCCAGGGTGAAACTGATTTGAGAGGACACAGACCAGGACAGCTGGGTATGGAAGCTGATGACAGAGCCCAGTGAGCAGATGGGTCAGGACCTGATGGAAGCTGTGAGACCCACAGTCAGGGCCTGGATCTCGAAGACCCTTGGTCCCTGTGCCTCCCTGTTGTGCGGACTCTGGACACTCACCATCCTTGCCTTTTGACTCCTTTGTATGCAGCCAAGCACATAGCTTTAGTGGAGACTACTTTTTCCCTTGAACTGAATTAATTTTGAAGGTAAGAAGCACTGCACACAGAACACTCAAGGTAGAATATTGCTGGCAGTGAGCAGAAAATTCAATTAAATGCATAATTCTGGGAGTAAGCTAAGGGGCAGAGAGCCCTGACAGCCTAGGGGTACCCTGAGGTAAGGGGCAGCACTTCATCTAGGCATTGGCCCCCAAAACATCTGAGTGTCCAAAGTCTTCAGCAGAAACTGCCAGTGGGAAGAAAAATTATTCTTTGGGTTTGTGTCATAATTTTTATTGCTTTTTCAGCTTAAAATATTTTGACTTTCTAATCCATTATTATGGAATATGCATTTATGATATTTATAGGACCTCTGAAATGTTTAATTATGAAGACAAACAGTTCTTCAAGGGAACTCATGCTGAGGCCTTGCGTGGGCAGGCTGCAGGGTGGTTCGTGGGGGACTCTCCTGGGCCAGAGGAAGGACTTGGGGTCTGCTCTGCAGTGCATGCATTCACCCTGCTGCTGCCATCCTGTGACCAGCCCTGGGTATAACCCAGGTGCCCAAAGCCCCTGTGCAGGAGCACAGCATGAGCATGCACACAAGCCTCCCAAGCCTGCCTAGTCCGAAAGCTGCATCATGCCCTCCCTGCCCTCAAGAGAGTGTGTGTACGTGCTCAAGGCCTCACCTCCTGACTCTGCACAGTCCTGAGTGCTCTAGTCACTGGTGGCTGCAGGACCATGCAGTACCTCTGAGTCCTGCCCCTTCTCAAGCACAACAGCAGACCAGGGTCAAATGAGTGGTGAAGCCCAGATGGGGAGCCTAGAATGGCACGTGGTTCCCCTGGATAGGAAGCCCTCCCCTGAGCTGGTCAGGACTCCTGCCACTGTGTGGGAAGCCACACCTCCTAAGACAGTCTGTTGCATCCAGGAGGGCCAGCCCAGGAGGATCAGGGCAGAACAACCCAGCGACCATCCCTGCTTGGGTCAAAATCCAGGGGACTGAAAACAGGCCATACTGACCCTTTTCTGTAGAGAAATAACTGCTCAGCCAAGTCAATGCTTTCTGAGCGATTTCATAGGATTGTCTCCTGGTGTGAAAATACTAAATTATGACAGAGCAGCAGGCCAGCCTGGGAGCCTGGAATCTGCTCGCATCTCCCATGGAAACATGCTCTGGATCCCAAGTCAGTGTGAATGTTGCTGACCTGGGTTCTTTTCCATCCCCATTATTTCCTGCTGGGACAGATGAGATGAAATTTCAATGCCAAGCCTGGGCCCCAGGTGGGTGTCAGGCTCCTTCCAAAGGGACTTACATAGAGGTTTACACCAGCCTGCTTGCATGGACCTAGTTGGGCCTTGTTTGTGAGGCCCATTAAATGCAAAAGAACAAACACTGAGCACATAAGGGGCAGCAGCATCTGGCACTGGGATGACCCTGGAGACTGCCTCTGTGTGAAAACAGGATGTGACTACCTTTCCAGTGAGTGGGGCAAGAAGGTCATCACAGGGGCTGGGTGATGAGGGAAGACATGACGAGGACAATGGGAACCGAGGGCCATGGGCTACAGGACAGAGGAACTGAACTGCGGAGTTATTTCGTTTGCAGTAAGTTCTAAGTATTGTTAACCTTACTCAGTCAGGGCTGGCGCTCTCTTGTCCACAGGGCCTGGTTCGTGGCTTGGGATGTGTGGGTGAGTGCTGAGGCCCAGATTCCAGCTTGCTCTCGTGACCACCAAGTGTGGCTCACACACTGTCTCTGTGTGCTTTTTGCACTCCAAGGCACAGGGTTGCTCATGGCTGCTCAAGCTCTAAGGCTAACCAGAGGGTGACAGCCTCTAGGAGCATGAAACATGTGGTGTAGAAAAGCCAACCAGGCACAACACACCAGGTGGGCGCACTCACAGCACCCCTGAGGCCACGCCCTCTTCCAAGCCATTAGCATTGCAAAAGAAGGTATTTTTCCAAGGGAGCTGTTTTCAGCAAGCAACATCACACATGGCAGAGCCAGGTCACCAAACATGCAGTGTGGGGACGGACAGGCCACGGATTCTCTCATCTCCACACTAGGACTGTGGAAAGTGTCACTGCAGGGTGGGGGAGCCCCATCCATTCCCTGAGTGCATGGGGTGCTAAGAGGATCCCAGCCCTGACACTCAGCTGGACCTGTTTCAGGATGCAGGTGGGGCCCCCCTGGGGTCTGCTGCCTTACTGTCCCTGTGGCCCTGGGAGCTGCCCTTTCACAGGGAAGTCAGAACAAATGTGGGCAGTGATGAGTGACGGCACTTCTCTCAATCTTTGTTTCCTGGGGGAAAGGGTGATTTCTGGATTGACTCAGGTGACAGTGGCACTATTTTCTGGCTCACCCTGTGCCATCACTCCCATAGTCCTCACAGCTGCGGCCTGGGGAGGAGCACTGCCTGCAAATAGCAGCACACTGATGAAAAGAGAGGTGATGTCTTTCCTGGGCTTCATCATTTGGTAGGGAAATAACTGGCTTTGAATTGTAAACTTCAGTGAAGAAAAGAAGATAAGCTTGAAGGAAGAGGGTGAGAAGATGGGGTGCCGCCCAGAGGCCTGGGGGGGGGAGGGCGCCCGTGCCAGGTGGGGTGACCTGCTGCAGGTCAAGGGGTAGGGGTCAGTGTTTCACATTGTGTGGGCTGTGGAGGGATCTGTGAGAGGCATGTACTTTCCAGGGCCTCTGACTGTCCATACTTGTGCAGGCGTGTGTCCATGAACAGCTGGCTGCAGAGCTGTGAGGCGACCGAGGCTGCAGCCAGGTCGGCGTTTATCTGCAGTAAAGGGGGCTGCAGCGCTGCAGTGGCGGAGGCTGGGAGGGGTGGCACAGGCAGAGGGCAGACTTGCTGCATGCAAGAATGGTCTTGCTTCCTAAGAGCACAATCCCTCAGGTGGGTCCCTGTGGAAAGCTTCAAATGAGGGTCCTGTGTGCCTGACAAGCTACCAGAAGCACCTGCCCAGATGCCTCTCTGCTGAGAACAGACCCAGGCTGACTGAAAGGTTCTAAATCTGGGTCAAGTCCACTATGGTTCAGGGCTTCTCAGTAACTCACACTGTGGTGAAGGCTAAGTTGGCATGAGGAAACCCACATGACAAGAAGGTGGGCTGCTCAGGACCGGACAGAGAGCCCACTTCCAGGGCCCCATTGCCTAGATGGGTACAGAAGGCTGTCTCTCCAGGCCTCCAAACTGTGGAGCAGTCAACTGGTCCCACAAGCCAGGCAGCAGGGCAGACAGAGAACCTGGGAGGAGTCAGTCAGCTGCAGCTGGGAAAAAGGGAAGCTTCGTGCTCTCACACGGGCAGGACCTACCTTGCTCTCATCCTCCAGGTCACTGTAGCCACACGCGTCTATGAAATCTGGGAATGTCTCGGACCATCCATCACTGGTGCAGTTTTTGCTTATGTTTCCTGGAAAGTAAAGTTTAACTGTTTTATCTGCAAGTCTGTGGAAACTTGACTCAGGCCCGACAACACGGCAGCCTGAGTCCAGGCCGTCCTGAAGCCATGTCTGCTCTGGCCATGCAGAAGCCTTCCTTAGCTTCTCCATCCACATCATCTCTCCACATGTTCCTCACAGGCTCCGTGGGGCTGACACTGTGGACAGACCCAGCCATAAATCAATAAAAACAAATTGTAATTCTAAGTGCTACAAATCTGAATGCTTTATTTTGGAGCAGAATGATTGTGATGTTTTTCACCATGAGAGAGAGCTACAGCATAGTCCAAGCCCTGTGGGACTCACCCGCTGCCTGCTCACTCCCCTCTGCCCACTTGACCCTGTTCTGTCCACTGTCCCATTCTTTCCTGTCATGCCCCAGGTCTGGTACTACTGTCTCCTTTCAGTCCAACTCTCACCCTTCTCTGCCCAAGAAGCAAGAGCATCTCCTGACTGGAGGAAACAGACGGTGGGGTTCAGGGTTAGCTGCAAGACATAAAGGCAGCTGTGATCTCATCGTCTACTGTCTGTGCCTAAATCTGCCTTCCACAGTAAACTCAGAAATGCAGTGTCCCCTCTCTCTGAAAAGAATATGTCCTGATCGATAATCACACCAATAGTGCTTTGTGGAGATTCCTGAGTTGGCCAGGCCCCACACCTGCCCATGCAGAGCCTCCATGCTCTACACCCCAGGGTGCTGCCTCCTCTAGGCAGAGCCCAGGCACAGGGCATCAGACTTAGCAAATGTCTTCACTCACATCATCTATTTATTTTGGGACATCCTAGGGAGGCAGACTTGGCACATGTTGCTGATTCCACTTCACAGATGTTAGAATAAGGTCCTGGAGGTTGGATGACTACTGAGTAGGAGTCTGATTTTCTAACTGAAAAGTCCTGACCTTTTTTTACACTGTAGCTGCTTACCCACCCATGGCTTTGACTCATCAGACAAAATGGAGCAAGTTCATCCTGCTATGGGGGCAATCTGTCAGTAGCTCCTTCCAGGCAAGGTGGTGGGTGGAGTGAGACCAAGACCTGACTGACTCCACGGGCTGCATAGCTTCCCTGGAGACCTGCTGGTGGTCCTCCAGAGGTGTCTCCCTCTCAGGATACACCTAACAGGTGTTCACAGGGATGGCTGCTTCCTGGTCCTGTGCTAATAGAATTGGGATCTTTTGGGATGATATTTATGACTCAGTCATTGACTGGGTGGGAGTTGGTAAAGTTCAGACTCTCTCAACTGACTCAGGTCGCTTAAGACTGTAGATGACCCATGTATAGGTGTGGCTTCAACCTGGACCTTCTGCAGGTAAGGAGCAAGGGTCCTTTCCCCCATCTCAGTGTTCCCATAACTTTATTTTGAAGTTTAACACTACTAGTCTTCAAAGTTTCCACCCTCCAACACCCACCCAGAAAAAAAGTTCTCCACAGTTCTGGAAAGCATCAAGCTTTTCTATTTCCAGGTGCATCTTCTATTCTCCAGTTTTATAGACAGATGTCCACAATAGGAAAATATGAATCATTCACAAAAACCAAAGCCTCTTCTCTGGAGTGAGTGGAGGGTATGCCCTGGGCACAGCAAGCCAGGCACCGAAGAGGGGTCTAGGCAGCATCCGAGACCGCACACTCAGGTGCTGCCAACTTCAGGTCACACTGAAGGAGCTGGTGTTGTGGGGCTGGGGGCGGCAGGGTCGGTGCAGCAACCCGGCCACTAGCTGGCAAGAGGGAAGCTCAGCGCCAGAGGCAGCCCTTCCTCCACTGTCATGGCTCCTCCCCTCCTTCATCCAGGGCACAGGGCTGGGGAGCCAGCTCAGGGTACAGCCTGCCTAGCAAGTGCAAGGCCCTATGTTCAATTCCTGGTACAGAAAAGAAAGAAAGGAAGGAAGGAAGGAAAGGAAAGGAAAGGAAAGGAAAGGAAAGGAAAGGAAAGGAAAGGAAAGGAAAGGAAAGGAAAGGAAGGAAAGGAAAGGAAAGGAAAGGAAAGGAAGGAAAGGAAAGGAAAGGAAAGGAAAGGAAAGGAAAGGAAAGGAAAGGAAAGGAAAGGAAAGGAGAGAAGACAGCCCAAGAACATTCTCGCAGGTTTATGGGAGTTCCTCTCTGCAGAGGCCATTGCAACCTTCGCCACCTTTTCCACTGCCTCTAAAGGTTTGGTGGTAGCTCCCCAAGTCTGTGTCTCTAGCTCAGCCTCTCTCTTCATGCCTCCTTCTGGGTCAAGTTGTCAGTGTCCTCCTGCTCCCCAAAGCCACTGCTCACCCTGGTGCAGCCCTGCTGCTCTCTGGGGCACTTGGCAGCAGAAGGGGCCAGAAATGACCACAGGAAGTGAGGCCCAGCTTCCATGAGGGAAAAACCAATTCTCAGATGCAAACTGCATAGGACAGGAGTCAGCCCACAGGGACTTACCTGGCTTGGTGTAGAAGTTGCTGAACACTGGGGGGCAGGGCACGGTGACCGTCTCCCCCAGGTCTGCAGGGCGCCAGCATGTGAGGTTGTCCCAGATGCCAGGGCATGCTGGAAGGAGAAGCAGAGTGTGAGGGTGTGTGGCCATGGCAGTGCGAGGGGCAGGCAGCTCTCTCAGATGGTCTCAGGGAGGAAGCTATAATCAAACATGCCCCTGCAGGCTACTTTCAGAGAAGTACAGTCAGGATGTCACCAAGAACACAGCAGGCCTGTGTGCTCATGGGATTCATTTTGGAGCTACAACAAGGTCTGTGCTAGAAAATATTTGAATAATTCAAGAGACTGGGAACTTTGAAAAGCTAAAATTTTATTTTAGTTAATTTACAAAAATAATTTTATGTATTTATGGAGTAAAAGTGGTGTCTCTGTAGCTGTAGAGTGTTGAATGATCAAGCTAAACTAATGAGCATACCCACCACCTCAGACACTTCTTTGGGATGAGAATACTTAAACCTCTCTCATTTAGTATTTTGAAATACACAGTATTAGGTACAGTGGCCCTGCTGCGTGAGGCACAGCCCTCCTTTCTGAGTGAAAGCTCACACCTTCTTCTCTCCCGCTGCTGACCTGTCCCCTCTCTGCTTTGTGATTGACTCACAGGTCCCATGTGAGTGCGGCCCTGCTGTACTTGTCTTTCTGTGCCTAGTTATTTCATCTAGCTGTCCACTTCAGATCCAGCTATGTTACTGCAAATGATGGAATTTCCATCTTTTTAATGACTGAGTAGTATTCTACTGTGAATCTAGATCATTTTTCCCCCCACTGGGAGTCAGACTCAGAGTCTCAAGCCAGCTAGGCAGTGCTGCACTGCTGAGCTACATTCTTAGCCCGCCACATTTTTAATGAAAAAATTTGAACTTAAGAATTCACAGGGACACTCCGTCCTCTACCCTCCCTCTAAGAAGCTCATCCACAGAGCTCCCGCAGAGCAAAGGCCACGGAGGAAGGCCCAGAGGTGCCAGGGAGCTGGCCCAGAGTCCGAGCAGGGCCAGAAGCACCTGTTCCTACCTGGCCCGGCTGAAGCCTCTATTGCTCATGTGTTAGTTTCCTGTTGTGGGGTGCAGGCACAGCACCCACAGCTTATGGGGGAGAGGCTTGTTTTACCTCATGAGTTAGTCTACAGCAGAGCCAGCCTAATAGAGGGCCTGGCTTAGGGCTCCTGGCAGCCGGAAGCAGGCAGCAAAGGGGGCACGCGGGCAAGAAGCCCCTGTGGGTCACAGCCCGGCGAGCCCTTCCAGTCAGGCCCTGCTTCTACCCCAGTACCGTCAGCTACTGAGCTCCTCAGTGACTGCAGCACCTCATGACCCACTCACCTTGCAAACGCAAGAGACTTCTGGGGGAGCTTTAGATCTAAACCACAATACCTTTCCACAGAACTGAAACACCCCTGACCATCATGGCCATGAGGACTGTGTTTTCTACGGTCCCTCCTTGTGCCTCACGTGAGCAGCTAGACTCCTCCCAAGGACACCACTGAGTAAGACACCCTCCCAGGGGTCTCCGCTCCTGGAGTGGAACCCCAGCTGCCAGCCAAGGCATCTTGGTAAACAAGATGGATGTGAGTTCGTCATCCAGATGGAGGAAGGACACGGCACAGACACCAGCGTGCCCTGGTGGTGCCTCCTCTGCATGCTGGGCGCCAAACGTGCAGAGGGAAGTGTTAGCGTTAACAAGAAGACGGTGAGACAAGGAGAGAGAAACTGGAAAGTGGGCTTTATTTGAGGGGGAAGAACAGTGTCTCTGGCCTGTCCGGACCAGCTCAGGTGAGCAGGCTACACCGGGACTCATAGTCAGGTCCAAGAACATTTCCTGTAGAGGGTGATCTTTCTCCTTCCTAGGAGAAACCACAGCAAAGCACTCCTTGTTCGCTGGCCATGCCCAGTGTCGCATTTGCTGTGGCTGAAGGGGAATGGCCATCTGGCTGGACATGGGGCTGCACAGAGCTCCTCTCCACTGCTGTGGTTCTCTCAGCTTCGCCTGAGTCACACTACAGGAAGAAGAGCCAGGACTGGGCTGGGCTCGCTGCCAGTGTCTTGATCCCCTGGGGACAGAGCTCTGCAGAAAGTCACCTGTGAGGCCCCATATTCCAGGGGCTGCATTCAGGGATATGGCAGAGCTGAGGGCAGCTGGGCTTGGCTTCTGAGCTCTGGGGCTTGGTGCTGCCGCCCTGAGCCATGCCACTGACTTGCTCTGAGACGCCTTCTCTGAAGCATCCCTTCCCACTGCAGCTCCCAGACTTGCTGCTGTGTGACCCTCCAGGCCAGCTGGCTGCACGGGGCAACACTGCAAGGAGGCTCCAGGGCGCCCTCTCTGCCTGGCTGTACCCAGGGTCCAGCTGCTGCCTACGACCTTTCGTTTTGCCCCGCGCAGCCTCCCTGCAGGTCTCCTCAGCCGCTCCATTCCATGCTTGCAGAGGCAACTGTGAGTTTCACTTCTGAGTCTTGCTCAGGGCATCTGGTCTCAGGAAGGGGACCTGTCCCCAACATGAGTTATTTCTACAGAGCCAGGAGGTCCTCTATATTGACACCTCTCATCTTTCCCATTGAAGAATATATCGCTTATGTTTTCATGTGATTTGTGTCGAGTACCATCAATTTAGTGGTCCCATAGTGTTCCATAGTCTATGAAGTGTGATTAAAATACAGTGAATATTTGCATAAAAACTTATGCAAAGACACACTGGTATTAATTCCCCTCAAAATTCTACCCCTCACTTTGAACATACTCATCCCATCATTCTCATTCACCATGTTTTGATCGCAATGTATATAACAATCAAATCTCCATTGGTAAGCCCTCAGTACTCACTAAACTTGTGAGGACATAATTGTCTCATAGGACATCTAGATATTAAGTACTAGACAGGGTGAAAAATGCTTGTTCTTTGGTCTTTTAGGAAGAATTTTTCTCTTTTATAATTGATGAGGAAACTATGAGAATGCTGATTAATGACTATGTAAAGAGTAATTAAAGTCAGATAATTCAACATGTTCTTGCTTCCAAACACAACTGGTTCAGATGAAAATCAATAGATAATAAGATATTGATGATACTATTTCTGAGCTATTGAAATGAAAACTAGGAAGCCATTGACAGATGCAGGAATGCCTGAAGCTTAGTGATGACAGCACAGCCATCAATTCTGCAGTCTGCTTACCTTGGTGGACCTACACCTGTGTGGAGATTGCCTGTGTGGGGCTGGGCCTGCGCAGGGCTCTCTCTGGGCCTGGGCCTGTGTGGGGCTGCATTGGTGTGGGGCTCACTTGTGCAGGGTTCACCTGTGTGGAGATCACCCATGCAGGCAGGCTTCTGTCTCTTCTCCAGTGTGGTGAGAGCTGGGAAAAGAGGTTTCGGGGCCTCTTCTGAGTTCTACATTTGGAAGTCCTTTAGAAAAACTTACCTTCATTTTGGCCTAATTTCACTGATCCTTTATGTATAAAACCACTTAAACTAAAAGCTGGATGGAATTGGGAATTGAATTGGGAATATAAATTGTTTGCAGGTGCTTTGTCCTTTGAACTCCAGCCAGCCGTTCTGACCCGAACTGTCCCCAGTAAGTGGCTCCTCGCCGCCAGCCTCGCAAGCCACGGCATTGCTCACGCTCACGGAGGATGCCGCCTTCTCCTGGAGCAGCACCTCTCGCTGAGCCACTCAGCCAGCCAGCACACCAAAGGTCCCCCTTGCAGCGGGGAGCCCAGACCAGCTGTGTGCAGCCTCGGAGGCGAGAGGGCCACTCTGCAGCACTTCTAGACTGCCTCACTGTGGGTTTCTTCTCAGAGACCCCTCAAGGTGGCATCATGTTTGGATACCTGGTGTCACTTGGAAATATTTCACAGCCACATGAGCTGGCCATAAGCAGCATGACAGACTCCATGGGTCTGCTTGCTGAGTGTGGGTGGGCCCATGGCAGAGATGCAGATACTGGTCTCTGGGACCACTTCACAGAGGTCCCTGTGGGAACATGGAGGAAGCAGGGTGTGACTGCCCCAGGTCCAGATCGCATGGCCAAGAGGAGGTGAGCATGGTGACAGGGAAGAAGACCCTCCTGCCGCTGGCCACACTGCCAGTGCCCTTGGAGCTGGACTCCTCCGCAGACATCACCGGAGGCTGCCTGCTCAGGCACTTGACCATCAAATACCCTGTTACTCTGAGTCCCATCAAGTCCAGGCATGCTGAATGGAATAATGGCTACACAATTTTTTTTTTTTTTTTTTGCTCCGAATGCCTTCAGGGCAGGTTTGGCTGGCTTGAGTTGTGGGGATCGAACCACAGCAACCTGAGCCTGACTGCTTTGTTGAAGCAGCCACTTAAAGAACTGAGCTAAGGGGCAGGCCCCCAGCTACACAAATTTTGCCACATGAAGGATTTCTTTTCTTTTTGTTCTGAGGATACATATTTACATTATCTGTCCTTAACCTATTTCCCAGTAAGATACGGAGGAATACATCTGTATATTAGCAAAGGTGGGTATGGTGCCAAATGCCGATTTAGAAAAGCTGCAATTAGGAATGATGACGGTTGCTACTGGCAGAAGCAGAGATGAAGGAAGTCTTTTGAGGGATCTCCCCAAAGCAATGACCTGTCAAAACAATGAGAAGAACATGCTCTGGAATGTGTAGAGGACAAATGAGAATGCTGTTCTTGCAGATAATTAGGGTAGCTGTAAGATAACCCCATGCTGGGAGGCTAGCGATGACTCAGGAGACAAAGACATAGCTCAGGGGTCTGCCGATAGCTGTCCCAGGACACAGACCCTAAGCAGCAGGCTGTTCCTCCCTGCTGACCTCACACAGCTCCTAGGTGAGCTTCAGCCAAGCGTCTTATGATCTTCAGTACTGAGTACTCGCAGCTTCAGCAGATGCCCACCAGCACCTGAGGGCACTCTCATGCATCAGCGCCAGTGGGGTGAACCTTGCCTGACTGCAGTTTCCCAACCCACAGTGTAGATCAAGTGACCCTGGATTTATTGAGCTCACATGAGCCATAGTGTGGACAGAGTGACTGTCGCCTGATGGCATACCCAGGAGCCACAGTGTGGATGGAGCAGCTGT